AAAAAAGTTCATAGCCCACCTGGTGTGAATGTGCAAGTATTTGTAGAGGAGCTGCTGTTTCTAAACACATCGGTGAGAAATGCTTCACACCCTTCTTTGTCACCCAGTAAGCAGAATACTTGTCTTCAGTGCATTTCTCTTAAGAGGGATGTGCAACAGTAAATACCATTGGTCTGAGACGCCAAACCTGGCACACTCCATGTGGCACCTCTTCCCTTCCAGGTGTGGTGAGGTGACTTTTCTTTTGCTGGGAAGAAGGTGGGTGGGGAGGTTTCCATCTGTCCCACAGCTTGTCAGGGTGCATGTCAGGGGCATGATCCGGGGGAGGGAAGTGCCGTGGCTGATGTGGATGTTGTGTTTCTTGTTTCTGGTCCTGCGATGGGTCCAGCTCTTGCTAATCAGCCTGCACAGTGGTGGGATCCTTGGACCCTCTCCTCTGTGAGGCTGTCAGCGTCAGGGGTGCTGATGATTTGGCTGTGGTGGGAGTGGATTGTAACGAGGTCTCCTCTTCAGCCTGAACGCATTGGTGTAGGCATGTCGTGTAGCCTGTCTGCCAGCCAAGTCTAACTTTCAGCAGCTTTATGTGCATATTTTAGGGATCGCTTCCAGCCTGGGAAAAGCCAGTCAGGTCACTGCAGGGCAAGGCAGAGCTGTGTTCCCATACCACCTAATGCTGACACGGCCGTCCTGCCCCCAGGATCAGGAGGATTCCATGGGAATCTCTATCTCTGGCTGTGCGGGGCAGGCTGGGCTCACTCCTCTGCCTTCAATGCAGCCACACAATCGCCTCTTTCGAGGAAGGGAATTCATTAGTGGCTGTGGAGTGGCCTTGGCTCTCGGGGCAGCAGGTGCTTCTATAGAGCAAAGTGTTGCTGAATATTCAGCAGTTGCTATCCAAGCGTCTGGCCGACTGCCTGTGAAGCACTTGCAGTTATCTTGAGCATCCGATTAGATAAAGTGCAAAGCACTTAGAATTTTAAAACATCCCATCCTGGTGTTATTTTACACGTTCAAGGTTGGGTTTTTTTAAAATATGAACCTTCCAAGATCATGAGCAGCAACTTAGCTCTTTTGACTCAGCCAGCAAAAAAGGGAACTGCCTAGCAGAATGGCAACCACAGTGATTCATATTCAGGTCGTCAAAACTTATTCTCTTACTGGTTTCGGCTAATGACATGTGCACTGGAAACAAATGACTCAGGCTGGAAGTGTCTCTTCATCTTTAAACTTCTTAAACTCTCCTTAAACTCAAGTTAGCTCTTTTAAGGCTACCTGAATAACACTTGTTCTTGCGACCCCCAGTTTGGTGTATGAAGTACTGTAGATAGCTAAACTATGAAGGAATAATTTGAGAGGTTAAGGTGTGTGATCAGCCTTTTCCTCTTTTTCTTTCTGGCAGTTTAATTTCCTTAGGTGTGGTCTGTAAGCAGCTTGTGCTCGATGGCATCATTCAAAGTGTGGTTCTGTGAGAGACTGTGATCGCTGAACAATTACAGCTTCAAATAACTTACAGCTTTAGTCAGTAAGGTGTGGGTGCCTGTAGGTTGTTTACTGCCGACCTGCCCTGATTCTGTTGTCTTGTAGTGGCTTACTTAACCTGTATTAGTTGTCTTAAAGGTGCTTTGTCTGTGTTCTCCTACTGGTTATTTAGGCCACAGAAGGAAACCTTTTAATTCATTAATAATTGTGAGAGTTGCACTGAAGGCAAGGGAGCTGAAGAGACACCTCAGTGGTGGTATCCAAGTTTCATGCTTTGCAGGATCTGCCCGAGAGGTCCTGGTGCCTGGAACACTGCGTTCTTGGGGGTGTCGTGACTCCACAGCCCTAGGCTCAGAGCTAAGCATGCAGCTCAGACCCACAGGGGACAGGCAGGGAGGCCCCAGCACAGCTCTGTCACTGGTCCTGGCTGCTCTGCATCCTGCTGGACCAGTGGTGCTTAGCACCGAGCGGAGGTGGACCTGGAGCACGTAAAGGCATGGATGAGCAGCTGCTGCAGCTGAGCCTTCCTGGCAGGGCTGTCTGCTTTGGAAGGGATGGAGTCTCAGTGTGTGCTTTGGCTGCCAGAGGAGCAGCTGAGGCAGCTCCCTAAGGTCCGTGGTGGGAGTGGGGCAGTGCCAGGCTGGCGACACGGGGAGCTGGCAGACTGGGACGTGGTGTCCACTTCGACCACTGTGAGGAAGCAGCTGAGGGGAGGCACCTCGAGGAGCTTGGCTGGCCCATGTTCTTCATTTGTGCAGTCCCATCCGTCCCTGAGCTCCTCACAGCCCAAGCAGAAGGGAGGACCTGCCTCCAGGAGGGGTTCTGAGTCCTGCAGTGAGGCATTCCAGGGGCTGTAAAGGAGATGCTCAGGCTTATGCTGGGTCATCGTCTCCTAAAGCTCATTTATTTTCTTATTTTCTCCGTGGGTCCTAGAAGTGTAGGAGCAGAGCACTTGCACTTGGGACTAGAATCCCTGGTGCTGACAGGCTGGGACAGTGCAGCCAGGGCTGGAGCTGTAGGTCAGCACTCTCATACAAGAAAATGTGTGAAGGTTAAGTTGCCAGAAAGTGACAGCAAAGGGAAGTGAGCACTGTACAGATGACACTGCACATTTAATTGCTAATGGACTCTTATTAAAGAGCATCTTGGCTGCTATTATTAGTAAAAGCAAATGTGTGGTGTTACCTACAGGGAGCAAAAAGGGAGTCTTTAGCGATCTTCTTGACCTTTACTTTCTTGTGTTAATTGATTTAATGCCAGGGAGGTTTTCCTGCTGTAAAAACTTGCTTAAACGGAGACTTCTCCAAGACCTCTGAAACAGATGTGCTAATTGGGAGCTTCAAGGATTC